GTTACAGCGGATGGATTCAACAGCTGATGGACTGAAGAGAAGACAGAATCAGAGGAGTTGGCATGGTCGATTAGAAGTGAGGAGGCCGGGGTCACGGCTTGAGAAAACCAGGGGAGGAGAAAAGGAGAACGGGAATGAGTGAGTTTACACATAAACACACTTATTCACGAAACGCACATTTAAATAACTTGAATTAACTTCATAAATACGTAAAGACAGAAAGATTTATTAACCATGAATTAATCAATTGGTAAATTAAAAATAGCAGTAAAGAGGAAACTATTAAAGTAAAATGAGAATCATCCTAAAACACACTGAGGGATAAAGGGGGAGACATGACAGAGTAGAACCATATTCTTCAATCTTTTCATCATGTTAACAAATCATTCTTTAAGAGATTTTTATTCACGTGTGAATAAAGTAGTGATCTCATTTGTTACAATATTGATCACCATTAAAATGATAGTTTTAGGAACCACTCTATAAGACAAATCTTTATTTGTATGGATAATGTTAAAGGGAGAGCTGGTGCCAAGCCACATATACAATTCCAATCTAAAGTATTGATTTCACCATTGTAGCATAGTTATTACCATAGGAGGGCTTTAAGATGGAAATATAAAATGACTTCTGTTTTGAATCCTTGATAAAGGAGGGAATAATTGTTGCATGTTCGGACACCCAAGGTTCCACACACTGCTAAAGAGTTTAACATTGTTTTTTAAGTAGACCAGAATTAAAGATAAATGAGTATGATGAGCTATGAAATGCAGAGCTACACAGATCCTAGTAATGTTTTGACTCAAGATAATAGTTATGTACACAAGTTTCTGAAATAGATCATTAGACATTTTAATACTAATTAGGTGTGTAGGAGCCAAAACGTTGATTTATTATTTGTATTATTTAATCATTTAATGTATGTAATGGAGTATAATTGATTGGTGTCAAGTGATCATGATCCGCAGCCACGGCTGGGCGGAGCGGCTGATTGGTGCTGCGATTGCCTCAGCTGGTTAAAAGAGTCCTGCTGATGATACTCTGTGTTCTAGTTTGGTTGTGAAGCCACACGGTTTTTTGATCGCTGCATTGCACTGCAGAGAAGGATAACTTGGAAATAAATATACCAAAAGAAAGGTGACTCTGAGTGATGTGTGAGCGCGTCGGCCAGGCGCTAAAACCAAAGAACAAAAGGAGCTTAAGAAAGGTGGAAAGAAGGCTCTTTTATTCGTCAAAAAACCCAGCTTGATGAGCGCTGGTCCGTGGAAACGTATGTTTTGAAAACAAGAACTCATAACAGCGTGTCAAATACTCGCCTTCGTTTTACTACGGATTCTACTTCCTAGAACGACGGTGTTGTGAAACGTGAAGGACTGAAGGCAACAATCACTCCTCCCCCAACTACATCTGTAACGCGTCACTGCTGTGGAGCGTTCATAGACTGTTGGAAACGTCTCAACTCAAGGCAAGACAATGAAAGTCCACAAACAATGAAGTAAAATTCAAAAGGAATACACGTGTTGTCTTGAACAAAAATGGCAGACTTGGAAAGCTTGGAAAGTGACATTGACTGTGTGTATATGGAAAGGCTCAAACGACTGAAATCATCAAGGAGTGCAAAATTGGGTGCATTGACAAGGAAAAGAAATGAAATCAGACAATTAATGGAAAATGTCTGCAATGTGGAACTGGTTAAGTCGAAAAGGGAAAGTGAGTTTACACAACTACACAAAGAAATGGAACAGTTAAATGATTCTGTTCAAGCTTTAATGTCCACTGAGGAGGAGAAAGAAATGGATCAGGATGAATGCTATAACCCCAAAGCAGCTGCCTTGGAAGAGTTTAATCAGGAGGTCTTAAACTGGATCGCTGATGCTCCTGTGTCCAATGTTGTCCAGACAAAAATAAAAGGACATACGAGTGTTGCACCTCGGGACAGTATTTCAAACGTAAAGAGTGTTCATTCACAAAGTTCAAGGAGATCCTCTCGGTCTTCTATCACATCTGCTAAAATAAAGTTGGAAAATAGAAATGCAGAATTGTTAGCACGAGCTGCTAGGCTGACTCAGAAGCAAGCACTGGAAAGGGAGGAAGCCGGTTTGAAGGAAAGAAAGGAACAGCTGGAACTTGAAACAGATATTGCAGCAAACACTGCAAAATTAAAGGTAATCAAAAGAATGGAGGATTGTCATGCAGGCACGTACCAAGCAGGAGACAGAATGAATGAATATTTGGATCACTCACTGTTTGTGAGTACAGCATTAGAGCAAGAAAATGCTCATTTGAATGCTAACAAGCATACACCAAACATCAATAAAACTGCAAATGCCGTTAATAGTGAAACACAATTCATACCACAACGTCCTGAAAGTTCAACTTCATCCAGCACGTCTTCTAGCAAGGGAGAGGGCAATATGAACAGCTTAATAAGCATCATGGAAAAACAGACCATAATAACAGAAACAATGGTAAAGCAGCAGAAACTTTCTTCATTACCCCCGCTCAGCATTCCTACCTTCAACGGAAACCCTTTGGACTATCGGTCCTTCATAAGAGCATTTGAGCATGGTATTGAAGAGAAAACAGAAATCAGTAAGGACAGGCTTTACTTCTTGGAGCAATGCACTATTGGCCAACCAAGAGAGCTTGTGCGCAGTTGCCAATATATGCAATCTGACAAAGGATACACGGAAGCAAAAAGGTTGTTGAAGCATCATTATGGAGATGAATATCTTATCGCGACAGCCTACATCGACAAGGCTCTCAATTGGCCATCTATTAAACCTGAGGATCCACAAGCTTTAAAAACCTTTGCTGTGTTTCTGAATGGATGTCTCAATACAATGGATAGTGTGGAATACATGGAGGAAATGGATCACCCAATCAACATGCGAGCTGTTCTTTAACTCCATATAAGCTTAGGAAAACTGGAGAGCTAAAGCTTGTAACATACAAGATGGAAACAACAGAAGAGTTAAGTTTGAAGATCTAGTGAAGTTTGTCGACCATCATGCTAGAATCCTTTCTCATCCAGTATTCGGAAACTTAAAGGAAATTCCAAATACATCAGCAAAGACAAGCTACACATTCGTTCCTGCTACTCCCAGCGCAAGGTTCAAACCGAGATCTCCAGAGTTATATAAAAGTGGTTTTGCCACTAGTGTATCCCCATTACCTCAGAAAGAAAACTGTAACCGACACAGTGACACATCCCAATCAAACCGATGCATCTACTGTAAAGGAGAACACCATCTTTCTGCTTGCAATCAGATTCTCAAAAACACCCACAAAGAGAAGTTGGAATTCCTCAGAAGCAAAGGACTTTGCTTTGGATGTTTAGAAAAGGGCCACATGAGTAAAGGATGCAAACAAAGACATACCTGCAAAGAGTGCAATCTCACACACCCCACTCTGTTGCATTTCAGTAATATCGAGTCGAGCAAAGGAAAGGTAAAGACTGTTGCAAATGCTTTAGTGGATATGGATAAAGATGATTCACGGGAGGAGGATATTGGGGCCGGTGAGCCTGAAGGCACCCTGGCTATCGTTCCTGTGAAGGTGAAAACAAAACAGGGTAATACCATCATAACAACATACGCCTTTCTGGACCCAGGTAGTACGGCTACCTTTTGCACAGAGTCCATTCTACAGCAGCTTCAAGTGACTGGACGCAACACGAAGATACTCTTACGAACAATGAATAAAGAGGAGTCAGTTAAAACATCTGTTGCATGTGACCTTGAAATATGTGGTCTAGAAAGTAACCAGTATGTAGCACTTCCACCTGTTTATTCACAAAACAAAATACCAGTACGAAAGGCAAATATTCCCTCTCAGGAGGATGTGGTACAATGGGAATACCTGAAAGAGGTCAATATACCACAAATTGATGCAGAGGTTGGCTTGTGAATTGGGTGCAACGTGCCAAAAGCTCTAGAGCCATGCAAAGTCATAAACAGCCAAGGGAATGGCCCGTACGCTGTTAAGACCATTTTAGGTTGGACAATAAATGGACCTCTAGGAAGGTCAGATACGACTCGTTGGATTAAGCCAGTCGTTACAGCAAACAGAATTTCTGTTGTGGAAATCGAGGAATTGTTGAAGCAGCAAGTGAAGCTGGACTTTCCAGAACATCAACACAAGGAGCGTCTGGAAATGTCAAGAGAGGATCACAAGTTCATGGAAAGTGTCTCTAATTCTGTCAAGTTAGTAGACGGACACTACAGTATTGGACTGCCATTAAAGGAAAAAGGACTTGATTTTCCCAATAATAGACGTGTTGCTGAACAAAGAGCTTTGAACCTAAAAAGAAAATTCCAACAAAACAACAAATTCTACAAGGAGTACAAAGAGTTCATGGCGGATGTTGTTGATAAAGGTTTTGCCATCAGAATGACACCTGAACAAAAAGACAAGGCAAATCAAAGCAAAAGGAGCTGGTATATTCCACACCACGGCGTGTACCATCCAAAAAAGCGTAAACTGAGGGTGGTTTTTGATTGCGGTGCAATTTACCAGGGCACATCTCTGAATGCACGTCTTCTCCAAGGCCCAGATTTAACTAACAGTCTTATTGGTGTCCTTACAAGATTCCGGCAGAAGAACATTGCATTCATGGCAGATATTGAAGCCATGTTCCATCAGGTCAAGGTGCCAGAGGAAGACTCAGATCTTCTCACATTCTTGTGGTGGCCCGATGGAGATCTCAGTAGTGAGCTAGAAGAGTACCAAATGGTTGTACACATCTTTGGAGCAACATCCTCGCCTAGTTGTGCCAACTTTGCCCTACAACAGTGTGCAAGAGACAATGTGGATGACTTTAGCCCAGAGGCTGTCTCTTCGATGCTAAGAAAGTTTTATGTGGACGATTGCCTAAAATCAATGGAAGACGAGAGGAAGGCAGTGATAATCGCTCACGAACTTAAAACCCTGTGCAGTAAGGGTGATTTCAAGTTAAACAAATGGGTAAGCAACAGCAGAGCTCTACTACAAACAATACCAGAGGAAACTAGATCAAAGGAAATCAAGGATCTGGATCTGGATAAAAGTACCCTACCTGTTGAAAGAGCTCTCGGAGTTCAGTGGTGCACGGAAACGGACTCATTCCATTTCAAATTTACTCCTCAGGATAAACCACTTACCAGGAGAGGTATTCTGTCAGTAGTGAGCTCTATATTTGATCCGCTGGGTATGTTGTCCCCTGTGATCCTCCCTGCAAAGCAAATCTTGCAAACATTAACAGGAATAAGGCTAGGATGGGACGAAAATATTCCTGAAGAATGTAAGGAACAGTGGTTGAGCTGGCTACACCACTTGCAATTACTGAGAGACTTCAAAGTCAAAAGATGCATCACACCACTCAACTTTGGAGATCCAGTCTCAGCTCAGCTTCACCACTTTGGAGATGCTAGTGAAAGTGGTTACGGAACAGTATCTTACCTTCGCCTGATGAACAAAGCAAACGCAGTTCATTGTTCCTTTATCATGGGTAAGGCCAGAGTAGTTCCACTCAAACCTGTGACCATCCCAAGAATGGAGCTTACCGCTGCCACTGTAGCCGTCCGGATGGACCGAATGTTACAGGAAGAGTTGGAGCTTAAACTCCAGCCATCCGTGTTTTGGACTGACAGCACGTCTGTGTTGAAGTACATACAAAATGAAACTACAAGATTCCACACCTTCGTCGCCAACAGAGTCGCAGTCATTCGATCTGCTTCAGAGACTTCCCAATGGAGGTATGTTAATGGTTGCCTGAATCCAGCTGACTGTGTATCAAGGGGAATCTCTGTAAGTCGCTTTCTGAGAGATGAAACCTGGTTAAGGGGACCAGAGTTCCTTAGTCTCCCTGAGCATCAGTGGCCTAAATCTCCAGATTTGACTCTAACAGCCAGCGACCCTGAAGTCAAAGTTTTTGCCGTAAGTCTCAACCCCATGGAAGAAAGCTCTAGTACAGTGAACAAGTTGCTCACTTACTATTCCCACTGGCATCGCCTGAAAAAAGCTGTGGCCTGGATGCTACGCATAAAATCCGCTCTGATGGCGAGGGCAAAAATGGATTTGAAGGAAAAGAGAGCAAAACATGAAAAAGGACCTCTCACTGTTGAAAACTTGGAGGAAGCGGAAGCTGCCATAATTCAGTTTTGTCAGTCCGCTTCATTTAAGGATGAGATAACTGCGCTAAAGAATGGACTTGCAGTCAAAAGGAGCAGTCATCTTCACAAACTGGCACCCATTCTGCAGAACAACTTGGTAAAAGTTGGCGGAAGGTTATCGAAATCCGCAATGCCAGCCGAAGCCAAAAGCCCAATTATCTTACCTGCAAACAATCATGTGACTCAACTCCTCATCAGACATGTCCATGAGAACATAGGGCACAGTGGAAGGAGTCCTACTCTGTCAGGTTTAAGGCAGAAATATTGGATTCCTGGAGGAAATTCTGCAATCCGAAAAATCCTCTCTAAATGTGTAACCTGCAGGAAACTCAGTGGTGTAAAAAGTCAGCAATTCATGGCAGACTTGCCGGAAGAAAGAGTTACCCCTGATGATCCGCCCTTCACAAACGTGGGCGTGGATTTCTTTGGCCCATTTGAGTTGAAACAGAGAAGAGCCACAGTTAAAAGATACGGTGTAATTTTTACCTGTCTAAACATCAGAGCAGTTCACCTTGAACTTGCACACAGTCTCAACACTGACTCTTGCATTAATGCCATCAGGAGATTTATTGCAAGAAGAGGCCCTGTCAAGGTCATGAGGTCAGACAACGGAACCAATTTGGTTAGAGCTGAACGTGAACTAAAAGAAGCAATACAAGAGTTAAACCACACACAAATCCAGAACAAGCTTCTTAAAGAGGAAGTAAAGTGGATATTTAACCCACCAGCAGGCTCCCACCACGGAGGAATCTGGGAAAGACAAATCAGAACCGTCAGACGCATTCTCAGTGCCCTCACGCAAGAACAGAAGCTTGACGAGGAAGGACTTGCCACACTTTTCTGCGAAGTGGAGGCGATCATAAATGATCGACCCATAACGACTGTTTCCAACGACCCTGGAGATTTAGAGCCCCTCACTCCAAATCACCTTTTGCTGCTCAAATCAAAACCATTTATTCCGCCTGGTGTCTTCAATCCGAGCGACTGCCACGGGAAGAAAAGATGGCGCCAAATTCAATACATGGCCAACTTATTTTGGAAGCGATGGACCAAGGAATACCTACCGGAACTCCAAATAAGGCAAAAGTGGAACAGGAAAAGGAGGAATTTCGCAACAGGGGACATTGTCCTTATCGTCGACGAAAATGCTCCAAGAAATTCCTGGTTCATGGGACGAATAACGCAAGTCTTGCCAGACTCGAGAGGTTTTGTACGACAAGTGGAAGTACAGACAAAAATCAGCACACTCCGTCGACCCATCACAAAGCTGTTACTGCTGGTCGAGTCCCAAAATGAGCTCTAGCCCCCTTCCCCTCTTGCACCACACAAGCACATTTACACACACGGACTCATGTGTTAATACACATTCGCCCTACAAAGGGTCAGAAGCCCTGAACAAATGTTTTGTATTGGCTCTCCATTTTATGTTTATTAGTAATTGTCATGTGTGATTCCATAACAATTAGGGGCCGGAGTGTAGGAGCCAAAACGTTGATTTATTATTTGTATTATTTAATCATTTAATGTATGTAATGGAGTATAATTGATTGGTGTCAAGTGATCATGATCCGCAGCCACGGCTGGGCGGAGCGGCTGATTGGTGCTGCGATTGCCTCAGCTGGTTAAAAGAGTCCTGCTGATGATACTCTGTGTTCTAGTTTGGTTGTGAAGCCACACGGTTTTTTGATCGCTGCATTGCACTGCAGAGAAGGATAACTTGGAAATAAATATACCAAAAGAAAGGTGACTCTGAGTGATGTGTGAGCGCGTCGGCCAGGCGCTAAAACCAAAGAACAAAAGGAGCTTAAGAAAGGTGGAAAGAAGGCTCTTTTAAGGTGTAAATGAATTGCAGTAGTAGTAGTACTCTAAGAAAGTGAGTTTTGTTCCAAGTTTCAGGAAAGGTGGGAGGCAGAAGTCCCAATGAAAAGTTAGAATCATCTTGAAAATCATAGTTGAAGTCGTGAATGAATAAGGACTGGCACTCCACATATGACATATTTTTGTAGATAAAGGGTACCCGCCTATGCTGAAATACCTCCGAAAAGACTCTGCAGAGCACGACATGGCCAAAAGACCGAGAACCAAATTACCTTTGATCCTGACTGACAGTGTGACAAAAGCACTGTCCATGACTGACTCTGGGGTGTACCTGACCAAACCTGACGTGACAACCAGACAGTGTGAGTGTGAATGAATGCCGGCATGTGATCAGTGTAACTGCATGATTCTAAAACAATAACTAACCAAGCATGTTTTTGGACTAACATATTATTTTGGAGCTCCAAGGGAAACGAGAGGTTTCCTACAAAATTCCACAAAAATTGAAACCGCACATCTGACCCGTTTCTAATCTACTTGATATTTTACTCCCACAGGAGTTGGTGGTTTGCAAATGTAAAACTCAAACTAAAATCTGAAGGACGGAGAGAAACACTTCTTTTCACTGAAGTGTTTACTGTGGAAATAATGATAATGGATGTAAAATTGTAAATAATGTTCGTTATGTCTCTAACCAATATTTACCTGACAGTTTTTTTCCCCCTCCCCATTACAGGGTTTTGTTACACATGAGTTCATGTGTAAAAAGGGGGGAGTGTGTATAATGTATAATGTCAACATGGCTGTAAAATTCACAATTTAAATTTTTCTTTTAAGGGTTGACAGAAACCTTCCGCCCCAACCCAGATGTTCAAACTGAGCATTGAATGATAGTTTTATAATTAACCTGCTTCATATCTGGGGATAAGATACTGTTTGATGAATTCTGACATGTTTCTAAATATTGATTGAATTATAACAGGTAACACAGAAGCAGTGGCCAAGGGGCTACTGTGAGAGATGTAATTCCAGAATAGAATACCGAAGAAGTTGACCTGTGATAATTAAACAATTTTGTAATATTTTAACAGACATTAGAGTAACTGAGGTTTGAAATGTAGAAAGAACATATTACAGTTAAGTTAAGCTAAAACATAGTAATGTAATGAGACCGAATTTAATTTAGACAACATATTGTAACTAGCCTGGTAAAGAATTAGAAGTAAAAGCCATAGACTTTATTGTTTAGTTCATTATGGGGATATACATTTAATTTAAATTCATAATAGAAAGACATTTGATTACATCCAACAGTATGTTGGAATTCTGTATTCATTTTTCAGCTTAATAATAGACAGGTAGAAGCTGTATTGCCAGGTGCAATCGATGGGATTTCTGCACACGATCCAAGCAGAGAATGACGTACCTTACAGGACAGATACACTCAGGAAATCATTCACTCTGACAGCATCATGACTTTAGTTGTTTTTGAATCCATAATGAAATTGTATTGCATAACGTTATTGTGTGTCTTTACCACAAACAGGAATAGTTCATTGTTTTATTTAGATTTGAGAAAGATTACAAGGTTTTTATTTAGTTCACCATGAAGATGTTTTTTGTTTGTAACATATGCCCAGTAGTAAGATTCAAATATCAGCAGGTTCTGAATTATTATTCCTCTGTCCCACAACCAACAAGAATGTGGATGGGGAGAACTATATCTACTAGAACCAGCAGAGATTCATAAATTACACCAGAGACACAGTAAAAGTAAATAAAGAGTAATATTTAGCTATTTTCAGATAGTTTAAGCCTTCTTATACTTTGTAAAAGAACAAGTGCCTTTACACCAGATACAGTAAGAAGATTATTTATGATGTGAAAGGAGGGAGTTAGACGTTTTCCATACCAAGCTAATTGCTGCTATTTTACAAAGTGACATTAAAGGTTTAAGCTAGAAGTTATGCACAAATGAAAAACTTCAGATTTATGATGAATATGTATTCTTATTTGTATTTTTTTACTTTTATGAGTTATGTACCATGCAATGTTCGGATGAAGAACTAATTGATTTCAATATTATTTACATACCTTAAAGGGTATGTAAGGAGGGATTGTTAGAAATTAAAATCAATGTTGGTATGGCGTAATTTGAATTAAATACACTATTTAATTTAAATCAGTTTTATTCTGAAAAACCGGAAGTTCACTAACTATTAACTTAATACTTTTATTCTGACAATTATTCATTTCCGGTTAGCATTAGCATGTGGCGAAATGCTGCATTTTCAAACCGTGAATCAAAGGTGAAATTACATGTGATGTTGTACACTGAGCACACTGGGTTTAGCAATCATTTATTACCGCTGAATAACGTGTATTAGGGAATGTTTAAATAACCACAGACACCAGAATGATATAATTTAACAACAGAAAAAGGCAGAAATTGCATTGGACCCGCCCCCGACGACGCCGGCCAATAGGAGAAGACCTCCGATGACAACAGGGCTGCTTCTCAGGTCGACTATTTTCATTTCCTCGCTCCTCGGTCCTCGGTCTCACCGGAAGTTGATTTGCCTGCGCCATCTTGAGTACCGTCCCATGGCTCTTATTTCTGCCGGAGGACCGAGGATCGAGGATCGAGGAGCGATCATGGAGGAGCGATAACCGAGGAACCACCAGACCATCCTCCGATGAAATCCTCAGATTCTCACCCCGCCCGCTTACTGTGTATCGCTCACTGATTGGACGAGGCAGTACATGCACTGATCTGATGCTTCTTGACATGAGAGCAATACCCCAGCGGAGTGAAGAAAATACATGAACCTCACGGGACTCACTCCTCAGTTTATACTGTGTTTTGTTTCAATTCATGTATCATTTAGTTACAAATATGTGATATATCTAAACAACAAAGTGGTCAAACATTTTTTTATTCATTCATTGGAAACATTTTCATGATCGCTTTTTTCGTTTATACATTTTAAGAATGGCGTTTATCTTTTTTGAGAATGACTTCTTATTTTATTTCATGTATTTGGATCTACAACAGATGATACTAATGTTTATGTCATTAAATGTGCACTAACAGAGGCGGGGGTGTGTGGAAATAACGGGTACAGAGCTGGCTGCTGCCAGACGAACAGCTGTGCGGCGTCATCACAAACGGACGTCGCTTCACGTGACGCTCCGGAGGAAAGGACGTCCCATTGCTCTTAAAACTCATTTCCCTGCTTCTCGTGGTTTCCTTGCGTCCCTCCATGCTTCCCTGGTGGGAGGGACTAAACGCAGGGAAACGACGCAAGTGAGGGAAGCAAGGATTTCATTTAATCGACCTGAGAAGCAGCCCAGGAAGAGCAAGCCAAGGATTGACCTCTTTCTACCTGCTGACCTGGACTGACCGGGCGGATGAGGAGAGCGCCTCCACTCGCACATTTCATTTTGTACACCACCGCATCTTTTGTGTAATTAAATGCTGTTAACTTTTATAAGCTTCCCTTGACTCTTTTCAGTCTCTCCTGCCTTCGGGGTTATAGAATACACTAACAGTATGCTTGTATGGCACTTCCGTCTCGGTTTCACAGGTAATTTCAATCACAGATTCTGGTAAGGCAATGTCCAAATGTAGATTTGAAAATCACACTTACCAGCTCTGAAGATCTGTTGGCATCCTGCCGACAACGCCAAATTGTAAGGGAAACTTCTGTGTAGCAACGCAGTGGGAGTCACCGACTCAGGAAGGAGACACGGTAGGAGCAGTAGCTTTGATGTCAAACACTGATGTTTTATTTGGAGTTACGGCCGGAGGATTCACATCACAAGTCCAAGAGCCAGAGGTTCTGACTTCACGGTAGAGTTGCCACGTCAATTCTCCAGAACTCTACCTCAGACCCATGTATTTAACTAGTTCTGAGAGCATCATCAAACTGCTGCATAACAAGATAAAATCATAACACCTCTATCAGCTGACGCCAACAGGCAGGAACAGGGAGACAGAACACTAAGAGCACAGCAGCCAAGGTTACGAGGTGCGTGTGCTCAGTCAGGACAGTTTGAACTGATAAACTGGGTCAAAGTTATGGGCCTTGGAAAATATTTCCACAACAACCAGCAGGGCTGAGTCGTCCGTGAACAGGAACAAGTTGCAGTCACATGCTGATGACATGTCATTTGCATAAATTAGGAACAGTAACGGACCTAATATGCTTCCTTGTGGAACACCACAGCTCACTGGGAGGGGGGGGGACAGAGTACCGTTTACCTCCACCATCTGTTCTCTCCCCTCCAGGTAGGACCGCATCCAGCTCACCGATAGTTTATCAAAACCAATTGCTTTTAGCTTGTCAATCAGAATGGGGTGATTGACAGTGTCGAAAGCCTTTTGTAGGTCCAGCATCACCATGCCGCAGTACTTGCCCTCGTCCACCTCTTGTTTGATGTGGTCGCTCAAATAAAGAAGGCATGTGTCAGTGGAGTGGGATGTTCTAAAGCCAGATTGAAATTCATAGATTAGTTTATTTTCCGCGAGGTACTTTTCGACCTGTTCATATATTATTTTTTCCATGACTTTCGAGATGGAGGTAAGTATAGAAACAGGGCGGTAGTTGCCTGGGTCCAATTTGCTGCCCTTTTTGTGCAGGGGGGTTACTCTTGCAATTTTGAAGTCTTTGGGTACTTTTCCCTGTTTTATGGAGAGGTTAATTATGTGAGCTATGACAGCAACCGCCATCTCACCGATGGCGGTTGCTGTGTCTCTGAGGAATTTGGAGGGGATATTGTCGTGGCCAGTGGCCTTGTCAGGTTGGAGGGTGCTCAGTTTAATGAGTACCTCTGCTGTTGTTACCCTTGCTAGACTGAAATCATCTTTGCGTACCCCTAGGTTTTTGTAGTAGGTCATGATGTGATCTACCCC